GGGCATCTTCAAATAAGTTTCCTTCGATTGTTTGTAAACTGCTGATGCAGTCCGGCTAAAGTCCCCCGAAAAGTGTTGTGATGCGCATTTGATCATATCCCCATGTTAATTTGCGCAATGTAAATATTAAATTATCATTATATTATTATTATTATTATAGTCCAATTATTATTACCACAAGGTATTTCAAAACTAAAGAAATGCAAAACCATCCTTCTTTATTCATTTTAGCTGTTCTCTCCCAAACGCATCCTTCCTTGTTCCCCAGGGACATCCCGCGTGGGATTGAGAGGATTGAGTTGGCGCTCGAGTGCATCTCGTGAGGACATGGGTTTGTCCACGTTCTGAAAATGACACAGCTTTCAAACAAGAGATATTCAGTGTTACTACTTTTAAAATCCTTCTTTCCGGTGACAAACGACCGGAACTTAAAACAAGTGGATATCTTAGCTTCCCACTCCAGAGAGTCATATCATCCACTTAAGATCAAGATCAGTGTCGGTTGACCCCAAAATACAATGCTAAAATAGATTGACGCACAAGAACTCGAAACTGCGCTGTTACGTGCGATGAAAGCTTCTGGAAGGCACGACATTGAAGGAATCTACGTGGAGGAGTGGTTAAGTACGTGATCATTGCCGGTTGAAAGATCAATACTAGTCTTACATTTAAATTCAATGCTTTATGGGTTTATGACAAAGCAAATCATTGTTCTCTAAAAGAACAAAAGATCTTTGTTTTACGGACCCTTGCACCGTCAGATTAGTTTGCCAAGGGCCAAACTAACAGAAAAACTATCCAAATTAATTTGAACGCCATCTTTTCCAAAAGGGACACGTGAGAAAGTTCTGATCCATGGACTTCCAAATGAGATAAACTACACGGTATGGATAGCATTTCAATATCCCGCCTACAGAAATGTTACAGTCATCAATTCAATGGATATGACAAGTGCATTTCATCGTCAAAATCAACTAGTATTTAACAATAAAATCATAGCACCATATGAAACACAAACTACTAAAATGGTGCGTCAAATGCAGGTAACACTCACTAAGAGTCAACCAGACTAGAAAGCTACAGGTATACTGAACGGAATGTTACACTCAACTCTCGTCACAGAACAAAAACATCGCTCCTTTGATGATCACAGTTTAAGGTTCAAACAGAATTCACAGTTAATGGACCTTTTACCGTTTTTCAAACTGTACCATATAAAAGTTCAACTTTTATCACAAGAACGAGCATATAATTTGCGTGTTGAACCTTCTAAGATTCAATGTAATATTTTCACTTGACTGAACCACATTGCACGGGACTGTAACGTGTACTAGCTATACTTGATATGAACTTGCTGCTTGCTCGTAAGTCGTACAAAAGAAGGTTTCACACCCGCCCATCTCATATTTAGAACCACTGTGTACAAAATGATAAACAGAAAATTATTATTTGAAAGTATTGCTCGATAGCTTTCATTTCAATGATAACCCACTAGGATTTCAGTCACTGAAGACCTAAAGGTGAGGTCGAGATCTATTTAATACACTATATAGAAAAAGCATCGTATGCAAGTATTACATACAGCGGCTTTCACTTACAAGATAAACACACTAAGTTCTATCTTAAGTTATCATCATCTTTCACAGTATAATAAAAATACCAAATAAAAGTGCTTCTTCTTTCAATTAAAGGGCCTTTGCTTATAAAATGAACTTGTATTTTTCAAACCCTTACAGAGTAAAACTCTCTCAACCTTACCAAAAATGGTCACGCTTAAATGTAATGTTTTTGAGGAAAATTGTAGAATACAATCAAACTTCAATAAAGTTTAAAAGATTAAGACAACAACCAAAAAAGGAAATACTTTATATGTATAACCACACAAGTTTAAAAATAACTAGAACGTTTAATATATCAAAAAGAAAAAAAAAACATACACACACACTTTCTATAGGCTTATTAGTCAAAAATGGTTCCCGAAGCTAAAAATTTACATTAACTATTTTCATTGAGAATTATCTTACGGAAATAGAAGTGTAGCTAACAACAGCCCAAATGTAAAGTAGTTCACCTTGCTAACCGTTCTAGATAGCCTTTGATAAGAGGCAATTTAAGTCTATGATGGAAAATATCTGTGCGGAAAAAAACGTCGAGCAAATTTGTACTAAATCTAAAGCTACTCCGCCATTCTCCACCACAAAATTACGAGGGGAAAGCCTAAAAGCTTCTGAAATTTTTGTTCTTATCACAGGA